ATGATGATGACAAAACACTAAGATGGATGCCCTCATGCTGAAGATTTACAAGTAAAAGTTAACAGTTGAAGTGTGAAGTTTAGATTGTGGTGTTTACACTGAACTGGGTACTTCCAGAAGTGGGTATTACAAGTAGTGTGTGACCACTGAGCTGAGACAAAGAATAACTGTAAAAAAACACATTAAACAACCCTACCCCCTACCCCCCCCCCCCCCCCCCAAAAAAAAAGCTAAGAAACTCAGCAAAAGAAAAGACATAAAGGCGAGAAGTGACTATCTAATCCAAACTCTTCATTATTCAACAAAACAGGAGAGCTAAACTATAAAAGCAAAAATGGTCATGCAGAAACTAATTCTAAGGGGTATAACTATCGTAAACAATAAACCAACTCCTATTTCCACACTTCTACATCTCAAAATCTTAATTATCATGAAACATTTTTCTGCCCGGGGAAAAAATAAAGTTTGGAGTTTGAGCCACGGATCAACATCATGGCACATAGGTAGTAACCCACAAGTGCTTCGTTCTTCTTCTAACTCAAGTCTGAGTCCGAAGAAGCTCAGCACAGTGCACAGACTCTGTAGTACCGGCAAGGATCCTGAAATACTTTGGGTAGATTTTTTATCTAAAATTTTGCTGGGCAGCGCTGTTAGGCTACTCTTTTCGATTTCCAACTGCCAAGGGATTTTTTATATGTGCAACATTGCAAGTGGACATCCGATCTCACTATCCAGAGACCAAGGGTAATTACTAGAAGTCCAAGTGCACGTGAAAAAATCCCAGCCCTTACCGGGGATTGAAACCAGAACATCCAGTACTCAAGGTGGACACCATGCCTCAAGAACACGCAGACACCCCAGGGAAAAAATTAAAAGTTCTAACCTGCAGGGTCTGCAGGGACAGCATGACCTGTGACCCTAAATCCTTAGGCTCAAGGACCCCTCCACTCATCCTACACGAAATTTTCACCCTCAAGGACCCCCTCCACTCATCCTACACTAAATCCCCAGGCTCACGGACCCCCTCCACTCATCCTACACTAAATCCCCAGGCCCAAGGACCCCTCCACTCATCCTACACTAAATCTTCACCCTCAAGGACCCCCTCCACTAATCCTACACTAAATCCTCAGGCTCAAGGTCCCCTCCACTCATCCTACACTGAATCTCCAGGCTCAAGGACCCCCTCCACTCATCCTACACTAAATCTTCACCCTCAAGGACCCCTCCACTCATCCTACACTAAATCCTCAGGCTCAAGGACCCCTCCACTCATCCTACACTAAATCTTCACCCTCAAGGACCCCTCCACTCATCCTACACTAAATCCCCAGGCTCAAGGACCCCTCCACTCATCCTACACTAACCATCAGGCTCAAGGACCCCTCCACTCATCCTACACTAAATCTTTAGGCTCAAGGACCCCCTCCACTCATCCTACACTAAATCATCAGGCTCAAGGACCCCCTCCACTCATCCTACACTAAATCATCAGGCTCAAGGACCCCCTCCACTCATCCTACACTAAATCATCAGGCTCAAGGACCCCCTCCACTCATCCTACACTAAATCATCAGGCTCAAGGACCCCTCCACTCATCCTACACTAAATCATCAGGCTCAAGGACCCCCTCCACTCATCCTACACTAAATCATCAGGCTCAAGGACCCCCTCCACTCATCCTACACTAAATCATCAGGCTCAAGGACCCCTCCACTCATCCTACACTAAATCATCAGGCTCAAGGACCCCCTCCACTCATCCTACACTAAATCATCAGGCTCAAGGACCCCCGCCACTCATCCTACACTAAATCATCAGGCTCAAGGACCCCCTCCACTCATCCTACACTAAATCATCAGGCTCAAGGACCCCCTCCACTCATCCTACACTAAATCATCAGGCTCAAGGACCCCTCCACTCATCCTACACTAAATCATCAGACTCAAGGACCCCCTCCACTCATCCTGCACTAAATCATCAGACTCAAGGACCCCCTCCACTCATCCTGCACTAAATCATTAGGCTCAAAGACCCCCTCCACTCATCCTACACTAAATCATCAGGCTCAAGGACCCCCTCCACTCATCCTACACTAAATCATCAGGCTCAAGGACCCCCTCCACTCATCCTACACTAAATCATCAGACTCAAGGACTCCCTCCACTCATCCTACACTAAATCATCAGGCTCAATGACCCCCTCCACTCATCCTACACTAAATCATCAGGCTCAAGGACCCCCTCCACTCATCCTACACTAAATCCCCAGGCTCAAGGACCCCCTCCACTCATCCTACACTAAATCATCAGGCTCAAGGACCCCCTCCACTCATCCTACACTAAATCTTCACCCTCAAGGACCCCTCCACTCATCCTACACTAAATCCCCAGGCTCAAGGACCCCCTCCACTCATCCTACACTAAATCCCCAGGCTCAAGGACCCCCTCCACTCATCCTACACTAAATCATCAGGCTCGAGGACCCCCTCCACTCATCCTACACTAAATCATCAGGCTCAACGACCCCTCCACTCAACCTATACTCAATTATCAGGCTCAATGACCCCCTCCACTCATCCTACACTAAATCATCAGGCTCAAGGACCCCCTCCACTCATCCTACACTAAATCATCAGGCTCAAGGACCCCCTCCACTCATCCTACACTAAATCCCCAGGCTCAAGGACCTCTCCACTCATCCTACACTAAATCCCCAGGCTTAAGGACCCCTCCACTCATCCTACACTAAATCCTCAGGCTCAAGGACCCCCTCCACTCATCCTACACTAAATCCCCAGGCTCAAGGACCCCCTCCACTCATCCTACACTAAATCCCCAGGCTCAAGGACCCCCTCCACTAATCCTACACTAAATCCCCAGGCTCAAGGACCCCTCCACTCATCCTACACTAAATCATCAGGCTCAAGGACCCCCTCCACTCATCCTACACTAAATCATCATGCTCAAGGAACCCCTCCACTCATCCTACACTAAATCATCAGGCTCAAGGACCCCCTCCACTCATCCTACACTAAATCATCAGGCTCAAGGACCCCTCCACTCATCTACCTACACTAAATCCTCAGGCTCAAGGACCCCCTCCACTCATCCTAACACTAAATTATCTCAGGCTCAAGGACCCCCTCCCACTCATCCTACAACTAAATCATCAGGCTCAAGGACCCCCTCCACTCATCCTACACTAAATCCTCAGGCTCAAGGACCCCCTCCACTCATCCTACACTAAATCCTCAGGCTCAACGACCCCCCTCCACTCATCCTACACTAAATCCCCAGGCTCAAGGACCCCCTCCACTCATCCTACACTAAATCCCAGGCTTAAGGACCCTCCACTCATCCTACACTAAATCCTCAGGCTCAAGGACCCCCTCCACTCATCCTACACTAAATCCTCCAGGCTCAAGGACCCCCTCCACTCATCCTACACTACATCCCAGGTCTCAGGACTCAATCCTACACTAAATCATCAGACCCCCTCCACTCATCTACACTAAATCTAAGGATCTCCACTCATCCTACACTAAATCCCTCAGGCTCAAGGACCCCTCCACTCATCCTACACTAAATCATCAGGCTCAAGGACTCCACACAAGACTACTCATCCTAAATCCTCAGGCTCAGGCTCAAGGACCCCCCTCCACTCATCCTACACTAAATCATCAGGCTCAAGGACCCCTCCACTCATCCTACACTAAATCCTCAGGCTCAAGGACCCCCTCCACTCATCCTACACTAAATCATCAGGCTCAATCCTACACTAAATCCTCATCCCCTCCACTCAGGACTCATCCTACACTAAATCATCAGGCTCAAGGACCCCCTCCACTCATCCTACACTAAATCATCAGGCTCAAGGACCCCTCCACTCATCCTACACTAAATCATCAGGCTCAAGGACCCCCTCCACTCATCCTACACTAAATCATCAGGCTCAAGGACCCCCTCCACTCATCCTACACTAAATCATCAGGCTCAAGGACCCCCTCCACTCATCCTACACTAAATCCCCAGGCTCAAGGACCCCCCCACTCCTACACTACCTCACTAAATCATCAGGCTCAAGGACCCCCTCCACTCATCCTACACTAAATCCTCAGGCTCAAGGACCCCCTCCACTCATCTTACACTAAATCATCAGGCTCAAGGAACCCCTCCACTCATCCTACACTAAATCATCAGGCTCAAGGACCCCCTCCACTCATCCTACACTCAACTCATCATCAGGCTCAAGGACCCCCCTCCACTCATCCTACACTAAATTATCAGGCTCAAGGACCCCCTCATCCTACACTAAATTATCAGGCTCAAGGACCCCCTCCACTAAATCATCAGGCTCAAGGACCCCCTCCACTAACTAAATCCTCAGGCTCAAGGACCCCCCTCCACTCATCCTACACTAAATCATCAGGCTCAAGGACCCCCTCCACCCATGCTACACTAAATCATCAGGCTCAAGGACCCCCTCTACTCATCCTACACTAAATCCTCAGGCTCAAGGACCCCCTCCACTCATCCTACACTAAATCATCAGGCTCAAGGACCCCCTCCACCCATGCTACACTAAATCATCAGGCTCAAGGACCCCCTCTACTCATCCTACACTAAATCCTCAGGCTCAAGGACCCCCTCCACTCATCCTACACTAAATCCTCAGGCTCAGGGACCCCCTCCACTCATCCTACACTAAATCCTCAGGCTCAAGGACCCCCTCCACTCATCCTACACTAAATCCTCAGGCTCAACGACCCCCTCCACTCATCCTACACTAAATCCTCAGGCTCAAGGACCCCCTCCACTCTTCCTACACTAAATCCTCAGGCTCAAGGACCCCCTCCACTCATCCTACACTAAATCCTCAGGCTCAAGGACCCCCTCCACTCAACCTAAACTGTCAAAAAATGATAAATATAGGTAGTAAATACAATTAAAAAATGTGGTATCAAGCACCAGATAATGGAGGTGACTCCAAGAGATTACCTGTTCTTGATGTTTAGGAAAGATATCTGGTCAGTTGCAACAGCCAACGTGTTAGATATAGAAGAGTAGTGAACAGCTTGGAGATCTCCCCGAATCTTGTGACTTTTTGGTCGAATGGTTAGAAGGCAAGTGTGATCCTGAACTTCCCATACCTGAAAGGTGATGTATAATTATCTGTTTCAGTTGATGATCAATGCATCGCATGGAAACAAATAGTTCTCACAATTTTGCTTGTTTTAGTTTACTGGTTTAATAAAACCTGGCAGTTGGATGGAAACAGTTCTGGATTTAGATATAATCTAAATAAGCTAAGGCTTCATAGGCCTCACTATCTGCAGAAGCCTAACATTAAAAAAAAAAATTGAGGCCTAATTTTTTTTCATGTGTTTTAATGTTGTATAACTTAAATGTTGTTGTTACCACCACTGAAATTCAAATGACCTAGAATTTGTCTAAAATCACAAACGTGAAGATAATTTTGGCAGTTTTTTCACGTTTGGGTAATTTGAATCTATATTACATACAGCTAACACACTGAAATGTGTTTAACTCCTGGGAGGCTAATGCGAACATTGATCCTGGAGAGTAAATCCCTGAATTTTTTTTTTATATCGCCCCAGAAATATTGTTATCATTCTGGGCGGGCACATTATTCCAAGCATTAATTCCAGAACTTGTTCTGTCAAACTGATTGTCATTTTGAGTCTGCATGAGAGATGACAGCAGATATAGAAGACTCAAATGAGATTTTCTTTTAATGTATTTTATATGCATATACTTTTAATATATAAAAAAAAAATTCCCAACATACATTTTCTAATTTTATTTATATCTTTTGGGGGTATAATATCTCAGGAATTTACTTATTCTAACTTTTTTGTAACCTATTTAAATTGATTAAACAAATCTGCTTGATATACATCATAATCAATGAATTTGCATTTGGGTAATCAGGGAAAAAATGCAACTAAGACTTTTAGAGGATTAATTAATATAATTTATGTGCTTCTGCAAAGACATACTTTATTGTTTCTTTGAATTTGGTGCTGTGATATCGATCACAGGCGTGAGAGAAAGTTAAGGCTGTTGTGATGTGTATAAGGAGTTACTCCATGCCTCCATTCAGGTGCCAGTCGGATCTAGGATGGTTTTACAAATCCTCACGCAAGACTCCGTTCGCACGTCAACATCGTGCGCCTTGGCAGGGGATCTTGGGAGTTCTCTCTTCTGGGTGACCTCTAGAGATGTTGTGTCCAGTCTGGCTCACATCAGCTCACCCCAGTGCATGGGTAAAATCGTCTATCAAAGCTCATTTGGAACATGGGTAAAGTCCGCTAGCTGAACGTACTACTAAATGACAAACCCTTGGTTAAAACATCTGTAGAATGGAAAGAATTGCTGTACTACTGAGATTCAGCCATATAACAAGAGATTTGCTAGCAACCACAGACTAGCAGTATCTCCTGCGGTCAGTAACTAGTGGAAGAGTACTGTCTCGTACATCCCTTGCTGTTCTCTAATGTTGTTATCACCACACTAAGGAACACCTATGACAATCTATCATTGTCAGTGTGCTGGTTGGGCATAAATGTCTGACATGTCCTATGACATAGAAACACAGTTTCAAATATCAGACCCCCCCAAAAAAAGTCCTACTAACTGGCAGAAAGGTTCACATGCTTGTTATCCCTGGCCCCACTCACTAGGAAAATCTTGATAACAGGAAAGATCAGCAGCAGATCAGACATATTTACAAAAGGATACAACTACAAATGTGAAAGTTATACAGGAATATCACTAGTGTCAACAATCTGTAAGATTTATCAGCCGTCTGCTGAACAGATTAAACCCATATGTAGAAGACAGAGGAGGCTTCTTCTTCTTCAAATCTGTTTTATCATTTTATTCTCATGGTAAATGGGAGTCTCCATGGCAGAGCAGCTAGACGCTAGCCTGTGAATCGGATGGTCGTGGGTTCGCTCCCTGGTGGAGTCGGACTTTTATCAAAAATGACCCTGGCTCCAAGGTCGACCCAGTCTTGAGTGGGTACCGGGTGCAGTCCTGGGAAGTAAAGGTGGCTGGCATGATGCTGACCCCATCACCCATCTTGTGCCGTTGGTCTATAAAATACAGGTCTAGCCCTATATACCCAATATGCCGGAAAGGGGTCCTTTTCTTTATATTTATTCTCATAGTAAATAAAGCAAGATAAATGTTCAGAGAATTAGAGACTGATGGATGATACAGCACAAAGCTTTCGCAATAGATATAAATCTGTTATATAAATCAAGCAGAATATTTTGGTAATCATTTCACTGAAATGCATAGGATTTAACGTGCAAACCTTTATGCATCTGTCCATTGATAAACTGAAGATTCTGTTATCGTCATCAGCAATAAACAGGTAGAAAATGGGAGAAGCATGACCCCTCAACATGGCTGTAGGCTTCCTGATTGATAAAAAACGATTTTATGATGTTACAGTGGAACCCCAGCATGTTAATTTATTGTAAATTAGCTCACCACCCAGAGGGGTGACAGCAGCTCATCTACATTCTTGCACATTACCATGCACACTTGAATGTCCTGGGCAGAATATCCATGATATGCTTCTTACCTGAGTTTTATCAAGCGATGCAAGTTACTATGAGAGCAAAACATTATTTTCTATTTTCTAAAGCATGCTCTGGGAGTCGCTTTTAATAACATAGTGGGCTATACTACTCTCCAGCCAATGGAAAGCTGCCATTGCTACTTCCATCTCCATTGTGACATAGATGTGACATTATATTCAAGTTTACAAAAAAAATGTTTTTATTTGTTAAACAACTTCCTAGGAAGCTAAATGAGGGAGGAAGAAAAAAAGGAAAATCTTCTTCTTCTTCTTCTTTGCGCTCACCAGCTGTAAACTCTGGCGGAAAGTTCTGGTTGTTCGTCCACTTCTGGACTGCAGTCCTGTTGCAGAACCTAAGTGTTGCGTGTGCATCAGTTTTACAGATCTGACTCATTGGCATGCAGACTGCTGGTTCCTTGCGTCTCAGGCAGATGCACTCCGACTTCAAAGGACGCTCCCAATTAGTCAACTCCTACGACATGCTTTTGGGTAGGCAGTGGGTCTATTCTTATTTTCCCTATAATAGGGCCCTGGAACCCACACGGTATACAAAAGGAAAATAATGTGCACAGATGCAGCTGAACAATTCTACCAATCTTTATCCAAGAAAAAAAATTAGAAGAAGAATTCTAAACACCAGCCCCCCCCCCCCCCCCCCCCCCCCCCCCCCCCCCCCCCCCCCCCCCCCCCCCCTCTTCCCCAAATGGGGAGTCAGAGACTAAGCTTCCTTGTTATAGTCTGTGTTTCTATAAAACAGCAGATGCTTTTGAGTGCCACTTTACCACCTGAGACAGAATTATTTAATCCAATCTTTGACTCCTCTGTCATCATCAATGCCAATAATAAGGAGACAGGGGGAGATAATCACAAAACCTCAAAATTAGCCAGGATCAATAAATCTAATAAATGAGGGAATACTGAGGCAAAGTATTATTATTTGGAAAAACAGGACTGAATACATTGAAATTAGCATGTTCTGAAAACATAAAAATTTACACATTTGAGTTAATTATTCCCAAGGGTTCCAGGCCCTGTTTGGGAGGGGTTAGGGAAAGAGGGCAGTGCAATTAATTATTCTGAAGTTGGGGATGGGAGGAGGGGGGGGGGGGGAAGACCCACTGTACCCAAATCCCACCCACCCCCTCTTTCCCTCACCAAACAAGCATGTCATAAAGGGCACTTAACTGCATGTGTCAAACTTAAAAGAATATGAGCACATTTGTCCGAGAGGCTTGAACCAACAGTCAGCACACATCAGGCCAGATCTGTACAAATTGATATCCATGCAAAACTCAAATAAACTTTGGGAAAATTTATAATGTACTCTATAAATATAATGCTTACCCTGAGACATATGGATTCCACAATCGAATAATTCTATCCATTCCTGCAACAAAACAATTAGCTATATTTTAATCTTGTTTTAGTCTGAAATGTTATTTGATCAAATCAGCAGTACATAATGCATATTTTTTGTAAACATAATTAACAACTAACATAACTTCTAAGATTTATATTCTCATTTATGACTGTTGGACAAAACATGCAGTACAAGGTAAAAAGCAAAGACAGTTCAACAAGTTTAGATCTCTGCTGAATCAAATGGGAGAGCTGACCAAACAGACTATTCTCCAGTGGATCCAGGCCACATCAACATTAATAAAATAAAATAGCAGACAGTACTATTTAGCTTTTTTAAACTCATCTTGTCAGATGCAAGATTTTGTAGGGAATTCTCTAGGGCAGTCCTATAGTTTAAGTCCTATTCTTCTTCTTCTTCACTTCCTCTTTTACCGCTGTGGGTGTCGAGGGAGATATAAGGTTCTGTTTCTAGCTCTTCTGGCTGCCTCGACCATAGGCACATCGTACTGTTGTAGAATTTCTCTGATGTTATCCTTCCATCTTGTTCTTGGTCTACCCCGTGCTCTACGTCCTTCTTCTCTTCCCATGTATGCTTTGTATGGTATGGTGTCACAAGGCATTCTCTCTAAGTGGGCAAACCATTTCACTTGTTGTCTTTGTATGTAATCCAGAATTGGTTCTGTGCCGACTTGGTCTCTTATGATCTCATTTCTGATCTTATCTTTTATGGTCACTCCTACAGCCCTTCTCAGACATCTCATTTCCGTGGTTACTAATTTTCTTTTATGGTTTGTTGTGAGTGACCATGTCTGGCACTGGTAGCACAGAGTTGGAATAAATATTAAGTCCTATAGTTAGTCTTATTCGCTGTCAATTTAACACTAACCTAAACAATAAAACTCCTATATTCTAGGCATGTTTTGGGTTGGTTCTTGTGAGTGTTTTTATTTTCATTGCATCAAGATGGGGTGAAAAAGCTGAATAATACCAAGCAGACTACTTAGCAAAAACTGTCAGTCATACAGAACTGCCAGATGCAGGATGCTCTTATCAGGAAAAAACTCAGATCAAGGTAGCCATTAGAACCCACTGGAAACATTCCCATTCAAAAACACATTCAACTTCTCACCTGAAAGAAACAGACAATTGTATTTAGACTGCGAACTGGACACAATGACATCTGCAGCCACATGTACAGGAAGCATGTACAGGAAGTTTAAGTTTGGGGGCTAAGAACTTTGCCCATGTTGCCAGGCTCCACAGAATAGTGAACATGTACTGCAGAAATTCACTCTATGTGCAGCGGAGAGATTTGAGATCTGGACAGTTGGCCTTCTGGTGGAAACCAGGCTGTATGGATCAGTGGAGGACATATGTTGCACCACAGTCTTTATAAAGGCCTATGGCCTTCTCATCTAAAAACCACTGGCAGGAAGAGAATAAGAAAGAACAATGTGTTGTGATGGAATTATCAATGTTAAATAGCAGTGGGACAGAGGAAGTAAGGATAGTTATTGAACAAGATACATAAATAACACAAAACTTATGGGCAGTACTAGCGTAAAGTCCTGTCTGAACAGGGCTCAATAAGAGAAACAACGAAGAAAACCCTTGAACAGCAATAGAACAAGACTGAATAGAGGCCCTAGTAGCCCCACAGGAATACACTAGGAATAAAACGTCCTGTTTGATTACAGAAAAATATTTCTCTAAATATTTCTACAGTGAAGTAAGTTCCTTTAAAACAGTCAGAATTTGGGTCTAAATGACTTTAGCTAACAATAGAAAAGAATGAGCCAAGCTTACAAATAGGATAGAATGAGCTTATACAATTTGTAGTGCTAGAAAACAAACATTGGGATTTCTATTTTGACCAAATTGAGCATCTGGTGAACTGCATTGTACTGAAAGAGTTAAGCAAATGCAGAAGATGCAGAATAGGAAAAAGTATAGAGAAAGGCAAAAACTGTCAATTACTGTCTGTGTTTACCACTTCTGCAGTGTAGGAGGGGGTCACTGAGCCTGGGGATTTAGGGTCAAATGGCTAATGCTGTTACAATGGGCTGTGCATAATAGGATGTTACCTTTGCACTGACAGAAAAACCCATAACCTTAGCAAGGATTCGAACCTGGGTCTGCTACATAAGAGACCAGCATTCTTAACCATTTAGATAGCCACTCCTCCTCTGAGAAAGGCAACCACATGAAAATCTTACCCCCAGTCACAAGAATGTTTTTTGCCTTGGAAAAATCAAATACTTTGACTCCTTTGTGAACTTTAAAGACGGTCTCATCTGCTTCTAGTCTGTGTTTGGGCTGATTGTAGGAATATTTCTGTTTCATTTTCTCCTGGCTTGTGCTGATGACTTTGATTTCTTTTAGCTGCTGTTCAACATGAGTACTGCCCATCGTTGAACCTGAGACAAGAAAGAAAAAGATAAATAAATAAAATACATGATGATGTCTTGGATTCGAATCTGCGTCTTGTCAGATTTATAAAAAAATATGTGGCTTCCAGGCTGACACAGCCTAAAATGGGTACTAGGTAAGTAAAGATTGCCTGTGTGATGTGGACTACATCACACATCTAGTACTAATTAGTCTGTAAAACTATGCATCTAGCATCATATGCCTGATGCATCCCCAGTATGAAAACAGCCCTTTACTTAATATTTTTTTAAAACAATATTTGATGATGTGAAGCTTAAACACTTTGGCGACATCAAGTGCCACAGTGGATTGGAAAGATTAACAGCATAAGGCATGGTGCCATGAAAGAGGGTCAGGGGTCATCTAGCTCGAAGATGGGTGGAGGATATCTGTGGCACCTTGGGGTGGCAAGTGCATGAGGTAGAAGATTGGTGAAACCGAGTTTCTTTCAGGCAGATGGTGGTGACAGCAACGATCTGCAAAGGACCCACTACATGATGATGATAATGTGGTAGGTCTCCATAGCAAAATGGTTAAGAATGAACTTTTAGGGGCATTTCCTGATGCTTCGTTCAGGCTGGGTCAACCTGTGAGCACTATGTCAGTAATAAAAAATTGTGTCAATGCAAATTTGAGCCAGATCTTCTTGCTGACAGACAAGCACCTAGCTATTGCACTTCTTGGCTTCTGAAATGTTATGCATAACCTGCTCTGCTGTATGGCAAAATAGTTACATTCTCGTGAGGGATGATTAGTGTTGGCACATCTGACCACTCCCATTTTTTACTCTGCTGTAAGCTTCAAGATTTTGATGGGACTGACAAGTTTTTCATTAATTTTCAGATAGGACAGTGGAAGACATTTTGTGTGATTTTCACTGACACAGGAACAAAGCAGTTATTATGCAATCCATCTACAGTGATGTCAGAACCTCAGCTAATGACTAAGGTTAATTAATTTGCCTTTAGTCATGAGACTGATTTTGGACTGTTGTTCAGTTCACGGACTTTTTTGTTCGGTCTATGGACTCTTTTGTTTGGTCTATGCACTCTGTTGTTCAGTTCATGGACTCTGTTGTTCAGTTTGAGAGTGCATGTTTTTTGTAGATCACAAGATTGTCACAACATTTGAAAACAAAAACAAAAATGTGATAAATAAAAAATCATGGAAATGAGCGGCCAACAGTATCACGGTAATTAGAGAGATACTTAGAACAAGTAAAAGTTTTTCCTATCTTGAACATGTAACAACAGATGATGGTAAAAGTAAAACAGAAATCAAAAAGAGAATAGAAATGGCTAAAGATATATTCAATAAAATGACAACACATTCAATTGAGAATTGTCAAATGTTGTGTATACTCAGTCCTGCTTTATGGTGCAGAAACCTGCACAATGAACAAGCAATCAGAAAACTGAATTGAGTCTCTGAAAATGTAGATATGCAGAAGAATCTGGCACATTTGATGGAAACAGAAACAATAAAATTCACCGGTTTTGTATCCCCACGTGGGTTCCAGGATCCAAATGTGGTGATAAACTGAACAGACACAACCACAATAACAATGTCATAAGAGTTGAGAAATAGGGGGTTTCCTTCAAAGTTGGAGTGCATCTGCCTGAGGGGCAAGGAGCGAACAGTCTGCATACAAGTTAGCCACATCTGTGAATGGATGTGCATGCTGAACTCAAGTTCTGGGGCAAGACTAGGGTCCAGAAGTGGACGAACAACCAGAACTTTGCACAGCAGTTCACAGCTGGTGAACACAAAGAGGTTATGGAGAGACTGAATGAAAAGAGAGTTACTGAAATAAATAAAAAAGAGACAACTGAAATATTTCGCCCACAATAAAAGATATGACACTGTAAAATCAATTGGGGGTAAAGGCAAGAGAGATACAAAAATACAAGTGGAAGGATAAATAAACAACAGTCTGAGAGAGTTTACAGCCAAGAAAAGGGACAGAGAGTGTTGGAGATCATGCAGCCAACCTTCAATGTGGAGACGGCAGAGGCTGAGGGACTGATTATTTAAAAAAAAAAAATTTGACAGAACAGTGAGTGGTTGCTTGTGTGTTTGCCAAGAATATCACAGACGGATAAAAGAATTAATTAGTGTGTAATATAAGTGTGCAACAAAGTTATACTTTACAAATCAACACCAGGAATATAAGGGTGCTGAACCACATATTGTAGCGCAGCAAGACCAGGGCTCATACTGGTGTAGATCTATCTACACCTCTTTGGGATCATCCTATTAGGGGATCAATGTTTCCTTGGAAGTTAAAGTGCATCTGCTTAAGAGGCAAGGAACCAACATCTGCACACAGTTAAGCCAGATCTGTAAAACGGATGTGATGCAAACCTCAAGTATTGGAATCAGTCTCTATCATAATGTATTTTCTTCCTGATTTTTCTCTCTCCTGGTCACTCCTGCAGCCCTGTACATAAATGTTTCACTTACCAATAACAAGTGATGTTTCTGAGCTGTTGGAACAGGAGATCACTTGGTCTATTTCATGGTAGTACTTAACCTGCCAACATTAACAAAGAATTAATTAGACAGGCCAAACAAAAATTTCAAAACACTGTGAACCTTAATCTTCTTCTTCTGCCATTGGTATTGGAACTCTGCACTGGCTGCTGAAGATTGGGATGGAGCATTTATGGGAATGACCTGAGTGCTGTGATGTCGGTTCTTGAAGAGCTCAGCTGAACTCAACTCTTCTGTTTCTACTTTACAGTGATGGCTGTGAATTTGAAACAATGACTTGACTGCAAGAACAGTAATTTAAAAGAGGTGAGGTTGCCCGTCTCTCAAGCGTAGTTGGCTAAACCGAATTGCGCGGTGAGCGGGTGATGAACTCCTTGTGGTCCAGGTTCACTCCCGGGGGTGGGCAGAAAAGCCACATTTCTCCCAGATTTACAGTATTTAAAATGGAATCAATGCCGAAAGGTTGCGATATCCATAATACCGAGCCTAAGGGTTAACAACTCATGGCTTCTGGATACTAAAACAAACAAACACAAAAGAGGTGAGGTAGAAAGGAGAACCATGCAGGAAGCCAAAGACTAATAGTAAACAGCACAAAACTGGTGTTGTCAGCTGCTATACACTGCAGGATATCCTGAGGATGGGATCTAAGCCCTGGTGGTCTGATAGGCAATGAGGATGATGTGTCGAATGAGGATGATCTGTCGACCTACTTAACTAATCTTCTTCTTCAATATTCTGAGCCCTAGAGGTTGTTTATGCAGACATCACCCACCTCAATTCACCTCTGTGACTGACCTTTACTTTCCAGTTGGTGACTTCAAGTATTTGTAGGTCTTCCTGCCTACTGCCTCTCTATCATGTTCTTAGACTAACTCCTACTCTACTTCCAATCAACTATTTTGTGTATACAGTTTTTGTCTCTTTTATCTGCAATTCTCTTTGTATGACCCAACCATGTAAGTCTATTAGCCCTCATGACACTGTTCATTCCAGTTTGCTATGAAGTATATGCTTCCAGGTATGAATGCAAGAGTGGTTTTCCTTTGGCATCCACCATTTTGTGCATGATTAATGCATTTTTTACGGACTTGTCACACTGTCACTGTGGCATGTGATTCCTATGCCTCCTTATAGCATAATAAAAACCACTGTTTGGAAAGACCAACAAATGCCCACCAATTTACAATAAAGATGCAAAAATGGAGTAAACAAATGGCACATGAAATGAGTCAAATGTCTTTTTATGTATATGTTCTGAAAATCTTACCTGGCCAACCCAGTCATCGTGGACCTGCCAGCGAATGAACTTGACATGACCATTATTAACTGCTGCATCAAGGGTTGTCGTGGCAATGAAACCATCTGGGGTAATCATTTTTTTCCATGTTCTGTAGCAGCCAATGAGAAACTCACATAAAATCACTAATTATGTTTACTCCCAATTCACAATGTGAAGTCACACACTTGTTTAAGTAGACATGTGGGTAAATTGTTTAAGTAGAAATTTGAATAAATTGTTTAAGTAGAAATGTGGGTAAATTGTTTAAGTAGAAATGTGGGTAAATTGTTTAAGTAGAAATGTGGGTAAATTGTTTAAGTAGAAATGTGGGTAAATTGTTCAAGTAGAAATGTGGGTAAATTGTTCAAGTAGAAATGTGGGTAAATTGTTTAAGTAGAAATGTGGGTAAATTG